CTCTCTCACACCATCCCCTCAATCTGACTTACTGGAGCGGACAGCCAAGCTGTTCGCAGCGCAGAGAGTTAATATGCATGAAGTCTCTGCAAACATGTAGCAGGGGGGACATTACTGCACATGATGTAGGACAGGCTCGGGCTCGGCCACTCGTTTTATGATCCTATTTAATTTGGATTTGCCAGTCTCCCTTTTATTATCCTGTGGGCCAGTCTTAGTAATCAAGATCTATGTTGTGCGCTTTGTGGCATTAATAAAGCTGCTGCTTAATTAGAAAAGCTACCTACCTCCAGACAAAGGGAAATCAACAACGTATCTAATGTGAGAAAGCGAGTGAGAACTTTGGTTTGAGAGTGGACAGATTGTCGGTCGGGGCAGGCACACACGCGCACACACGTGAACACACATGCACACACAGACACATGCTGCACACATCAACATGCACTTACACGCGTGCACACACGTGAACACACACAAACACAAGCATGCACAAGCAGACACATGCATGCACACACATTAACACGCATACTTACACATGCACGTGCACACACATCAACACATGCACACATGCAGACACACACGCTCATGCGCACATGCACACGCACACCCACATCCCATGTGTGTTTCCAGTGGCTGCACCTGTCAGAATCCAACACAAGACCATTTCTCACTGGACGGGTGGGCTCCACGGGGGATTAAGGCCGTTTAGGGAATCAAAATCTGAAAGCTTAAGATGGGCATAGACGGAACTTGTATTTGCGTATTTATCCAGTTAGTCATCCACAGATATTTGCTGAGGGCCTCCTGAGCGCCAGGTGTGGCTCCTGAAGTGTGGCCACACAAAGGCTCCCACAGACACCCCCTGGCGTCGCAAACCGAGAGATCAGCATTCTGCAATGGCCCATCCCGGCCTTCCTCCTGCGGGCTCGTCACCAACAACTGCGGGACTACCTCCAGCTCAGCTCCTGGTCACAGCAACCCTGACCTGAGTCCCCATCCCAGCTCCTGGAAGGCCTCCACTGGTGGGCCTGGGCCTGGGCCGTCAGGTGGGCTGGAACGGGGCCACGGGGGTGCAGCAGCTGGCCCCAACTGGCATGCCTCTCCCTGCGTGCTCTCCGGCCTGTTCCCGGCACTGGGAATGGGCACGTTTGGGCTTCCTCCCAACATGGCAGCTGCAGGACAGGTGGACTGCTTCTGTGGCGGTTCACGGGCCAGGGCCAGTGCTGGGCCGGGCAGGGTGGAGGCCTTGGAAGCCCCACCGCGTCACCTCTGCCCTCCTCTATTGGACGACCCGCCACAAAGCCCATTCAATCTAGGGGAGGGACGCAGAGTCCACCCCTTGCGGCAGGGGAGGGGGCAGATTCTAGAAGACAGTCTCCCTTCCATGTTTGGCTTATGTGGAGAAGGTGAGATTCTGGGGGGAAATGCACGTGACACAGCAGGGCTCAGCAAACTATGGCCCACGGGCCCAAACCGGGTACTTGACCCTTCCTGCCTCAGCTTCCTCGTCTGCAAAACATGGGCACCATCCGTTCTCACAGCGCTGCTAGGGGGTCAGCGCTGGTCTGCGGGCAGCGATCTGCAGCACACCAGTCCTGAACAAGCCCCGGGGCAACCATCGGGCACCCCACTTGCTGAGCTGCGCAGGGCCTGGGTCTCCCCCAGGATGGCTGGGGCCCGTGTTCAAAGCCAAGGTCACACGCGGGCTGTCACCGCATGACTAAGCCCCACGACGCCGTCCACTGGGGGAGGGCAGCAAGTCCAGAGAGGCCCAGGAGACTGGTGGGATAGCAAGGGCTCGGAAGGGCTTCTCTCTGGTTTCTAGCTCGTCATCCTCACACGCACGGGGTGGGGGGCCTGTGCATGTCACACTCATCAAATCCTCCCGTTTCTTTTTGGGAAAGAAATGGATATAAATAAACATGTAAGAAAATGGAACCCACATTCTCTGTTTCAAGGAGGCAGAGAGCTGTGCCCCTTCCAATCAGTGTCTGTAAATCAGGTTTCTATCAATTAAGGCCTATTGTAAACGTCGGCTCTTTCAAAGTTCGCCCTGACGTCTTCTGTAATGTGAGCCTGACAGGGAACTGATCACTCCTGTCGGGTTTTATTTGGGCAGACGGAGCCTTCCTAAAGAGGGAGCCTCTGCCACGTGAGGGAAGGAGGCTGGGTCTCAGTCTCATAAAGTGCTCTGAGGACTCAGGGGTGTGCAGGGATGTGCCCGAGCACGGAGAGCCCATTAAGAAGCAAGAAATACAATCCAAATGCTTGAGCAAAAGATTTAAAAATATATGTGTGTGTGTATGTTAATTTACTACAGAGCCTAGAGGACTTTCCATTTATTTATAATTTATTGCAATGTTGGCTTCAGGAACAGCTGGATCCAGGTGCTGCTACTATGGCACTGGAACCTGATTCCTCCCCACCTCCCAGCTCTGCCACACCCTGCACTGGGTTTTTCCTTGGGTTCCATGGGTGGGCTGTGGGAACTCTAAGCTTTCCCCTCATAATGGTAAGATGGTGCAGCTCCCAGGTTCCCATTATTCCAGTTTCACTTTGGCTGAAAAGCCTGATTTTTTTCCCCAATGACCTCAGGTAATTCCAACATGCAGGCTGATTGGACTGCGCCCAGACCACATGACAGCCCTGAGCTAGGGGCTAAGGCTGGTGGACATAATGCTCTAATTGCCTTAATCCTGAGTCATGTGCCCTGCCCTGCAGCTGGAACGGAAAGTTTCCACGGGTTCCCATGTGAGAGCGGGGCACCCAAAGAAAGAGCACCAGATTTCAGGGAGGCAAACAACAGCATCTATGACACACACTCTCATCTGTTCTATAAGTGCAGCGCTCTGACGCGGAAGATGCAGCAGGGCCGCCAGGAGAGCCCTGCCCCCAGCCAGGGCTGGCGACGGCTGGACATCGAGAGGCCCAGAGCTCTGAACCCCGTGAGCTTATGGGAGGTGGGCGCCACTCACCTGCCAAGTCAACTACTACGCTGTGCACAGGAAGGGGTTAACACAGCAGGCCTGGCTTGTCCATAGACACCCTCCCTGCACAGGAAAGGTCTGGCCCTTGCCAGCTCCCGGGAGGTGACTTCTGAGTCCCTGGGACACTGCGCCCGACCCCAGTGTCCTTGGTTCCGTGGGACCTTGGGCCACGCGGGATAGTCTACACTGCAGTGCGGTCCATGCTGGAACCTGAGCCACAGTGTGAGCCTGACCTCTGGGGGCTGGGGACGAAGGTCGGTCGGCCACCAAAACCCTGGACAGCAGGGCTGAAGTGGGCCCCCCGTTGCCATACTCCACAGGGTGCCGCCGTGGCTGGGAGGGTCCCTCCCGCCTGCTCCCCCCGCCCTGCCCTCTGCACTCTTCTCCACAATGTCATTCTGTCCTTCAACAAACCCCAGCAGGAGTAAAACAGCGCTGCCCAGGTTGTGAGTCCCTTCAGTGAATCACTGAGCCTGGGGTGGTCCTGGGGGGTCTCTGGAAGGCACCGCGGTGCCCAGAAGCCCAGAGACAAGAACTCAACTCCAGTCGCTGAGGGAACCCTATTGAGGTCACCCTCCAAAGGTCAGGGCACGCTGGGGAGCGTTCAGAAACTGCCACGCACACCCACACACGTGCATACATGTGCACACGCATGCACACACGTGCGCGCACACACCCTTAGAGCACGGACTGGCACGTCCCGAACCTGAGCCACTCAAGCCCGTGTCCATGACTTTGTCACATCTAGACGTCACCTGCATTATTCATTTAGCATGTTTCTTCAAATTGGCCTGTTTTATACCCAACCACATTTTTTACTCAGGAAAGGAATCTTTATTCCATCTCACAAAAGGAAAGCCTCTTCGATGGTACCCATAAAATAAAGCAGCGTTCTTTTGTGTGGCGCGTGTGCTCGGGGTCTGCCGGGACAAAGGGGAATTCCTCTGGGATGAAGTCCCAAGTGGAACAGGAGAGGCGGACAGTGGCCTCTCACCGCGGCCCCGTGCCGTCCAGGGAACAGGCCGCACCTACTGTCCTTTCCCAAGGCACAGGGTGAAGGGAACCCCTGGGTTAGGCCGCAGGGAGGCGCACTCCGGGCAGCCATGGCTCACTCGGGAGACCTGCCTGGGGCACCCCACCCCTCGGTCTGGGGAGGCGATGCCTGCAGAGCAGGGGGTCTGCAGTGAGTTCCCGCTGCCTGGCCTCCCAGGGCATCCTGCCCGCAAGTGTACCCCACCCGTATCGCTCCCATGATGCACCTGCTCATGCTTCCTCCTCAGGCCGGCCCTCCCGCTCCGCTCCCAGGACCACTTCTCAAACACAGTCTCACACACGCTCTAAAAACGCCCCCCCCACCACCGCCACTGTCCCCGTGGTTTGCTGCAGGGCCGGCCCTGCCCCTTGCCCACCCGCCCGGCCCCGGCCCCCAGTGCTGAGGGCCCCTCCAGCGCCCAGGGTCCCCCCCACCCCGCCCCAGGCTTTCCCGCAGGCAGAGCCAGAGAGGAGCCCGGCCAAGCTTGCCTTTCCTTTCCAGCCCACGTGCCCGCCTGGAGGGACCTACTCAAGGAATGATGCCCGCTGAATATGGCATTTTGTTCACCTTTCACCCCTGCCAAGGTACCTAATGAGCTTCCACACAGGATGCAATGCTTGCAGAGCCGGCCACGAGGCAAGGCCACAGCCGGCGGCAGACTGGGGGCGGGAGGGCCAGGGGTTCGGGACGGATGGCAGACAGCTTTAGATGGGGGGTGCCACGCGAGCGAGTGAGCCCCGAGGTCCCAGCACGCTTCACCCGTGTCCTGTGTGGAGCGGCGGCAAGGCGCAGCCCGGCTCTCGGGCCTGCACACGTCTGCGTGGACAGGACACCCGCGACCCACCGACAGCAGACACACCAGAGCGGTGCAGGGCGGACGCGCAGTGCCCGGGGTGCCTGCCTGCACGTCCGTGCTCCTGGAGCCCACAGCGCGGGGGCTGGGCCTGGGGGCGCCTGTGAGAGGCGCGCCACGTACTCACTTTTTGGGCCTGTAGTCCGGGATGGTCCTGTCCAGGGAGATGCGGTCGCTGAGCTGCGCGTTGTACCCGTATTCCTCGTACTTGCTCTCCGTCTCCCGGCTGTCCTCCCGCAGGGTGGCCGCCATGCCGCCCTGGCCCAGGCCCCCGGGGCCCTCCACCAGGCCGATGGGCTTGGCAAGGCCTAGCAGGAAACGGGAAAGGGGGTGGTCAGGCAGGCCCCCGACCCTCCTGCCCTCCCCAGCCCGGCCCCAGCCTCGGCCGGCCGCCACTTTCTTCCAGACCCAACTCTGGGAATTCAAGGAAAGTCTATTAATTAACATTTTTTTCCAATAAAAATAAGTTCACTTTAAGAATGCAAATGAGTTGCCCACCTGCTCCCTGACCCTCGAGGCTGTCGGTCTTTCTGACGTCATTGCACGACCACAGTGGGACGCCACCTGGAGTGTGAGCCCGCAGTCCCCCGGGAGCCCCCCAGCGCCCGACACAGAGGACCCGGCGCCACAGGGCCCTGCCTCAGAGGGTGGAGAGGGACGGAGCAGACCTGGGAGACAGGCAGGAGAGGAAGCACCTGTGCACGCGGGCTGCCTGGGAAGGCCAGACCTGGGGCCTGTTCTTCCGGAACGTTCCTCTAAGTGGTCCCGTGTGCCAGAGAAGCGCGTGGGGACGGCACCCTGGCTCTCTCTGGGACAGGTGACTCTGGGGCGTGCTGGCTCCGGGAGTGGGGCCCCAGGGCGCCGCAGTCCAACCCTCGGAAAGGCAGGATGGGCCCCGCCTGGCTGGTCGGCCCCCCAAGCAGACTCCTGGGCTCGCGGGCAGAGGGGGCTCTTCTCTGCGCCGTCCGCCCCCTTAGGTTTGTTACGGTAATGAAACAAGAAGGCCGCGCACTGAGGGGCGCAAACCGAAATCCAAGCTGTACTGGCCTCACGCTGCAAAACAAACCCCACGGACAGCCAGCCCTGCCCCCGACGCCCCCACCCCCCCCCCCACGGCCTCGCGGAGCGGATGTCCCGCCCCCGGGAAACGCAAGCCCCTTCTCATTCGCCTGCGCTGCTGCCCGGCTTACAGTCCCAGCGCAGGAGGGGAGCCCAGGGCGCCTGGACCTCAGAGTTTTCTGGAATATTCCATCTTGAACCGGCAAACCTGTGTTGGTATTTATGTAGGACCGCAGGACACACATTGAATGTAAAATTGAAAAATTGCATGACACATAAATCATTTCCGCTTATTTTAATATTGCAAAAATACATATATAATCATGCTATTTTTAAACGTCTGAGCGGCATTTTCCACTTTGGAAAGTCTGTAAATAGCGGCCTCCCAAAGGCAGATGCGCCCCCAAACCTGAGGGGACAGCAGTTGGCGCTGATCACCGCCGGGCCCCCCAGGGAGCTCTGCTGCCCAGGGTGGGGGCTTGAGGGGGTGGAGCCCGGGGGTGGGGGGACCCGGAGTGGGGTGGGACCTGGGGTGGGGGCCAGGTGTGGGGGCAGGAAGGGAGCCCTGGACGGTGGGGGCTGGAGGTTGGTTTGGGGGGAGTTCCGGAGGGGGTGGGGCCTGAGGCTGCGGGCATGGGGGCCTGGGGGGTGGGTTTTGGAGGGGGTGGGGGCGGGGGGCTTGAGGGCCCGGGGGTGGGGCCTGAGGGTGGGTTCTGGAGAGGGTAGGGGCAAGGGGGAAGCCCTAGGGCTCGAGTGCCAGGGGATGGGGCCTGAGGATGGGAGCTGCGCGCGCGGGGAGGGGGGGAGGGGGCGGGGAGCTGGGGGCATGAGGGCCCGGGGTGGGGGGGCCCGGGGTGGGGGACCCCGGAGTGGGGTAGGTCCGGGGTCCGGGCGGGGCTGGGGAGGGGGCCTGGGGTTGGTTCCGGACGGGCTGGGGCCTGAGGGTTGGGGGACGCCGAGGGGGCTGGTTTCGGGGTGCGGCGGACAGGGCTGGAGAAGAGGGAGGACTCAGCTTGTGCGGGGTCAGGTCCTGAAAACTCACGGGGCTGCTTCACGGCACTTTTTGGCTTGTCAAAGTGAGACACGCCCATGTGAGAACCTCCCGATGGGGCGGAAAGCTATGAAAAGGCAGAGTTGGGGTGTCCTGGGCAAGCCCCAGTCTGCAAAGGAGGGGCTTTTGCTGGCTGTGCCCGCACGCGCCGTAACTTCAGGGTCTGGCTCTGTCGGCGGGGACAGCCTCCCGGGACGTCCACACGGAGCCTGAGGCTCAGTCCGTCCGCCGGCCTCCTCCTCCCTCCACTCTTCCCCGCGGCGCCTTTATTCTCCGTTATTCCGGGTTACCTTTGTGACCTTAGGAGGAACACTTTCGGCTCTATTTCTGGAAGTGTCACTTTAGACAGCGTCTGTCCACTCCCTAGCGGGTTAAAGGAAAAGTTAGCATTCTCCCGGGACTTCTGCTCAACGGGGTCTAAGTTTCATTTATATATATATTTTTTCAGTTATAGAGACGTATAAACTTATAGGCATAAGCTAGAGGTCTGCAGTATATCCCTGTGCCTAGTTAGCAACACTTAAAATTTTGTCACAAAGGTAGATTGCATGGTAAGGGTTCTTACCACAATAAAGATTTTAAAAAATAAGATGTTGAATTACCCCCAGAAGGACAGAAATAGCTACACCGTAGTTTCTACGTTGTCAAACGTTGTCAAAGTCACTTAGAACAGCTAATTTTGCTCTGCAGCCTCCACCCAGCTCCCCACGGCTGGTCTGGAGGCTGGTTCTGAAAGGAGGCGCGAGCTCACCTCCACCACCCACCCGTTGCTGGCTGTGGGCCGAGCATCAGCGAGCCACGGAGGCCACGCAGCCCCGCCTGACCGCACCGCTCGCCCCTCCATGGAATAGCCCGGCAGCCTCCCTTGACACTATTCATTCCCCAAAATCATGTGCATTTTGGTTGGCTTTAGGCTTGGATCTTGACTTCCTGCGCACTTTTCAGGGTGGAGAGGTAAGGATGATTGGTAACAATTTTTACGTAGCACGAGTTTCAGACGCAGGACCGTGGCCAGCAGCCACGCGCCGCCACGCACGCTGATGTCCGGGGTCCCAGACGAGAGCCGAGTGTCCGAGCGGGAGCCTCGCGTGGAGCCTGCCCCTGCCTCCAGGGAAGGGTTCTGGGCTGGTCACGTCGGCGCCTCGCCCTGTGCCCTCTGGCCCTGCCTGACCCCTGACCTCTGAGCAGCTGCAGAAGCTCTGAGAGGCTGTCCCCCGGGGCGGGGGGCACCACTGGGGGAGCGGTGGGAGCCCCAGCTGTTACAGCTCCGACCATTAAAAACCCGTGGATCTGAGTTCGCTTTTATGGAGTCCTGCCCATCAGTGCCTCCCTGTGGGGCTCGTGGGACTCGCGTCTTCCCTCCTTTCTGGGATGACTGTGGGCTCACGCCTCTTTCACAAAGAGTTCCTTCTAAAGAGGCAGGATTGCTTGATCCCTGGGTGACAAGGGCAGACGGAACCGAAGAAACTTGTAAAGACTGAAGGTGGCCTGGCCGTTGGGGGGGGGGGGCGGTCCACGGCCCGAGGGCCACTGAACCGATGGCCACATAGCCGCCAAGGCCCCTGGGGTCGACACCGACACCTACAGAACCGGCTCTTGTCTTCATGTCCCCCGAAATCCTGGCTTCACCAGCGGGGCCTGGTGCCAGGGTGGGGGTGGGGCACAATGTCCCCCAAGTCCTGCTGCCCTCAGGGCTCATCTCTCATTAGTCAGGCCACCAAGTGGGTGACAGGCAGGCTCTGCAGCCTTGTGGGCTGAACCGTGGCAAGCTCTGGTCCTGGCCCTCGGGACCTGTGGGTGTGGCCTTATCTGGAAATGGGGTCTCTGCAGAGGTCATCAGCTAAGATGAAGTCATCCTGAATTGGGGTGGGGTCCATTTTGGACCCAGACGCACGCAAAGAGAAGTTGGTCACGTGACAACCCAGACAGAGACTGGAGGGACGTGGCCACCAGCCAGGGACTGCGTGGGGACCCCAGGAGCTGGAGGAAGCCGGAAGCACCCTCCCCCCGGCCCTGCCCGACCTGGAGTCAGGCTCCAGGCTGTAAAGGAATGAATGCCTGTTTTTTCAGCCGTCCGGAGCGTGGTGCTCTGTCCCCGCGGCCCCGAGAAACCAGCCAGCAGACCTGCGGCCAGCAGACTGTGACGACTGGACACACGGATGCCAACCGTCCCTCAGCCCCTCTGGGGGTGGCGCAGCGACGGGTCGGATCACAAAGGCACCGGGGCCTCCAAAACAAGAGGGAGAGCGGCTTTTCCTGTTTGAAATGTTCCACTTCCCCCTGCGGGGGAATCAGAGCCCCAGACTCTTCCTTCCGCCCTAGAATGAGAAGTGATTTTGAGAACAATGGGAAATTTGCATGCATTAGCTCAGCCTTTGAAACGTCTGTCCAGCTGACTTCTCTGAAAATTAAACTGAAGCCACACCTCCTACTTGTTACCCTGGGACTTGGGGGGGGGGTGTCAAGGGCTGGTCGTGACAGCTGGTGGTCATTACACCCCCGCCCGCCCATGGCCAGTGGGTCCTCCCCCAGGTGCTTTTATCACCGCATTTTACAGAAGGACCCCTGAGGCTCACCGAGGCCGCACACCTCCTACCCAGTGCTTTCAACTTCCAATCACCTCAACGAGGAATTTTAGAGGGAACCGGTAAAGGTCTCCAGTTTTCCATTTTGACATCAAGGACGTTAATTACAGCTGCTCATTACTTTTAGGCACCATTTCACGCAGTGGTACGGCAAGGCAGGAGGGACACCCCCTCGCGGCAGAGCGTTTTAATGGAGGCACCCAGTTTATGAGCGCCTGGCTCCGTGTTCATCACGCGCCTCCGTAGCAGGTCCACATGCTCTTGGGGGAGCCCTGGGAGCATGCTGTAGATGACCACGGGAGGCTCTTGGACACTGGCTCGTGGACGCATGCACCTCGTGGACACTGCCCCTCCGGGCAGGGCAAGGGCCGCCCCCGTCCATGCGGCCACCCCTCCCCAGCCCTCGGCCCCCTCAGTCGGGTTGGAGACAAACACCCACAGCCAGCGTGGTGTGAGGAGAGGCCAGCTGGCCATGGAGAATGAGCCTGGCCACGTCGCGGTGACGTGGAAACTGAAGCAGAAGAGAAATTATTACATTTCCTTACTGCCTACAGCCCACCGACAAGTCCTTGAAACAGGCAGTGACCTTCCTCTAGGAGCTCAGCTGCCTCGA